TGCATTCGTGAGAAATTCTGCGTTATCTGTAACGCATTTCATGGTTACAACCAGATTCTGTAATTTCTACGACATTCCGTGAAATGCAAAAAATAGAACGTAATGCAGATCACGGGACTAAATTGACCAATCAGAATAACATATCGATCATTGTCGATCTTTCTGATTTTCCCTCATGCTTTTTTTAGCCCAAATTTTTGCACGCGTGTTTTACTTTACATACTTCTAAGGTATCAACAAAAAAATCGGGTTGTGAAGTTTTAATTGTTGGCCGCGAAATCGTTGTTGTTTTAACAAAAGAAAAAAGCTCAGCAGAAAGGCCTGAGGCTTTCAGGCTTGAGTTTTCCAATCTTGAGAATTTCTGGGTTCAAAGATTTTAAAAAATGCTGAAGAACTACTGGATGTGAATAATTATAAAATTTTAAATGATAAGGCGCGTTTTTTTTCATTTATAAAGAGAGTTAACTTCTAGGAGGGTGTGCCCTGATGAGAAGAATTACTGGGTATGAGCACCTGGTACCCACTTCAGAGTCCTCTATTCAGGTGTACTCTCTTTGTTGCCAACGGAGGGTCACTGCTTTCAAAGAAGAAACTACGGTACGTTCAATTATTATTGAGTAAAAAATGCATTAATATTTGTTTATCGGTAGTTAGGTTAAAGATGAATGGAGCGATATTGTTGTCGAATGTAAAATTTAGTAAGTAAAGCTTTTATGTATTTCAGTTATAATTAATTATGCGGTTTTTTAAAATTTCTAATTAAAAAGTGCTGAAGAACTACTGGATATGGATAATTATATAGCATTTTAAATGATAAAGTGCGTTTTTTTTCATTTATAAGGAGAGTTAACTTCCAGTAGAATGCGTTTTGATAGAAAAACTACTGAGTATGTTCACTCGGTACCCACTCCGTAGTCATCTATTCAGGTGTACTCTCTTTGTTGCCAACGAAGGGTCGCTGTTTTCGAAGAAGAAAATAGGGCACGTTCATTTATTATTGAATAAAAAATGCATTAACATTTGGTTTTACTGGTAAAATAGGTTAAAGATGAATGCTCTATGCATATTAAACTCTTGAAAGATTATTGGAGCGATATTATTGTCGAATGTAAATTAGTAAGTAAAGCTTTTATAAAATTTTCTAATTTAATCGTATGGTTTGTAATTTTGCTATTATTCAGGTACAGGGCGAGACAAATAATCATGTATTACTTTACATCATACATTATTGACGCGTACCTAAGGGATCAACAAAAAAAAAAAATCGGGTCATGTCGCTTTAAATTGTGGGGTAGGCACATCAAAATCAAAAATAAATGATAACGTAAAGTTAAAAAATATAATCAGAATGCTATTGATCGTTCATTATCATCATACGAAGTTATTAATTTAGAAATCGTTTCAGTCTTATCATGTGCATTAAGCTGTGTTGGTGTTAATTTTAATTAGTTGTCCGATATAAAAAGTATCAGTCGAATCGGACACAGAGTATAAAATTATAGATGTTACGCTTTAGGAGATTTAATTAATGACGCGACAATGATTAGATTGAGAATAAAGTTCCCGAGTATGCTTTTAAGAGGTTTGAGAAAAAATTTTAAGTTTCTCAAATATTTAAATTTTTTATTGACGAGTCCTTTTAAAAATTCATATACATAGGAATATTTACATGCAAAAAACTTTAGTCATTTTAAAAGTAACATTGAGTTGCTGCTAACTTATCTCATTCCTGAAGGAGTGACAAAGCTTTTAGTCTTAATTTATCTATTAATTACTTAAACAATATAGATGTATTTGATTCAAGGGTGTCTATTTTCTCAAACGATATTTTTCTCGATTATTTATCGAGTAAAGATAGTCTGCGAACTTGAATAAATCACCTGATATATGCATAAACTAATGCAACCTTTTTAAGATGCCTTTTACAAGATCTGGTTTTGTGAGAAATGCGTTAATCTCGGTCATTTATCCTCCTGTATAAAATTTCCCCGAAGCGTAAATATCTCTTTTTATAAATTAATTTCATACCAAAATGTGAATTTAAAATTTAAACGGAGTATGCAAACTGTCAGTTTTATGTCGAGTGAAAAAGATTCGAATAATGAGTGATTGTAGTCGATTTGATATTAACCGATAAAATCAACTTAGTCGATTAAGTCTGTCAATTTTTAAAATTTGGTTTAGACGATTCTTGGTTATGTGATGAGAAAAAATTCGTCTAATATATTATTTTACATACTAAAAGGCAATCGATTTTTGCATGGTCAGCTAAGCCAATTTTTACATTTCGACTCAGTCAAATCAAAAATTTTAGATCGACTGCAGACGCTAGATTAGATTCAATTTTGAATTGATTATTACTTATTAGCTTCGCTGTTAACCTATTTTCCGCCTTATAGATATTACATTAAACAGCCTAGCTATATTACCTAATGCATATCTGATATGGTTAAGTAAATTTAAAAACCAAAAATAACTATATAGGTATTAATATAAAAAGAAAATTGTAAAGTCATTCGTCATATCGAATTTCTGTATCCCCAAATTGGTTGGTTCTAATTTTACCACCACGACGCAATTCATCAAATTCTTCTCTGGTTCTTGGTAAATCCATCATAGGCCTATCTCCATCATCTTTACCAATGGACTTTTGTTGCGATCCATATAGATTATCATTATTTTGTTTTTGTTGCCCAACTTTAGCATTTGCACGGATTTTATCCCAAGTAGTTGAAGTCGTGTTCTGTGTTCGATTTCTATTCCAGGAATTATTGTCTTGCGGTGGCCACGAAGATTTGTGAGATGGCTTTTGCGATTGACCTAATTCACTCAATACAGTAGAATAAATCTTGATTAAATTTCCGTTCGAATAAAAAAAATATATTCTGATATTTTATGATATTTAATAATTACCATAATTATAATCACTTTCATTTGCATTAATGTCACTAACCATCTCATCTGTTACTGTCACGGAATTTCCAGAATCATCATATGTTCTTTGATGGAACGAATATTGGGTTTTGTTCTCTTTTTCAAACTCATCAGATAAAGTAGTTTGATCTCCATTTTCAAATCTATAATCTTCGGAATTCGGAGGTTGATTCGGAGGTTTATTTGGAGTAGGTAACGGACGATTCGGATGAACTTGCTGTCTTTTTTTTTTCATTACATAAATTAAATTTCTCTCAAATTTGACCGGATCAAAGACAATATATAGTTTTAATAGTTCTAAAAAAACTCACTGCATTTCACTTATAAATTCCATAATGCGTTGTGAATTTGATGATCTTATCAATTTAATACTCGCTATCGACCCCGTCACCATTCCTGCCTGACTACCAAACAAAGTAGTACCTATAATAATACATAGAACTATTAGTTAAAGGCAGAAACATCAATCGTTCGACAAATAATTACGAAATTAATATTTATTAATTTACCAAAGCATAACCAAATAGTACCAAAAGTTCTAATTTTTTGGACTTTGGCTTCATACATTATATAATAAAAAAATTCATTTTAATTATTGTTATGTATTAATAAATTTTTATCCTGGATATATTTTCACGAAATTAGGAAATCATTGAATGGCTACAAACCAATAGCTCCACCAATGACTAAACCAGCCAAAGAACCTATTCTCACTATCATTAAATAAATGGTATATATTATTAAAATAAATTAATATACAATTCAATGTTTAGATAAAATTGTAATTATGTATAAAAATGATGAAACCAACACACTATGCATAGAAAATTTTGACTTGGCACGATTAAGAATTTCAATTTCTTCTGCCGAAAAATTGTATTCTTTAGCTCGTTCTTTAATTTTATCATATACTGACATTTTTATTTATTTATCGAAAAATCAAGTGTGATCGATCTGCATATATCGATATCATCAGATGTATTTAAGATAATTTTCTTGTGATTCGCAGATCACATGAAAATTAATAACAGCTATATATCTTGTTTTATAATTTTAACGTTAAGGTTGTTATTCGACGCTTGTTCGGTAAGTTTTTTTAGCGACAAGATAATTCTGACACCATTCACTATATAATTAATTCATATTCATGACAATTATAAACCTTCGACCCACAAAGTTCTTGTTCAACTCTCTGCACCTCCCACACGCAAGTTTGAGACGTATAACTCTCGATACTTAACACTGTGATATCACTCACAACTTTCTTATAAAATGTTGTCTTACGTGGTACATACAGTATACCCTTGTTATCCAAATTAACAATTTCTAATTCAACCTCTGGACTAAAATTCATATCAATGTCTATTTAGACCCGGTTAAAGCCACCTGGAAAGCTATAATAGCAGTCGCATGATCAAAAGTAATAATATTAGTTAATAGTTTGGGTGACTTTAGCAAGAGTCAAAGTAGAATTCCCCTTTATTACCGTAAAAGTTCATATATAAGACCCGGATCTAGTACTCCCCAGAGGTTATACAGTTTCATGAAAAGAAAAGATTCAAAGTGCATACATACTTTGTATTTATAATAGGGATTCTAACTATTTGAAAAAAACTGCATTTAATTACTAATGATTCTGTGGTTCGCACCTAGGTCTAATTCATGGTGGGTCTACTATTTGGGGATCTTGTATATAAACTTTTTATAGTATTGTTAAAATTGTATCTTTTATATCTGATTACAAGTCATATACAAAGAATTACTAGATTTAATGTTTTTTTTTAAAAAAAAATTATTGATTAAACTATTCATGATAATGATTTAGTATGAGTTTTCTTTTAAAAGCAAATAATAGACTTTCTCGGGAATCCGGAATACAGTATTATTTACAAAATTTAAACTGGGTTTTGACCAATTACCAACAGGTTTAAATTTTATATATTTAAGGCTATTTCAATTTAAAAAACAAAAAGTTAGTACTACAATTTGATTGGCCAATATTATATATATGTTTTTTTTATACAAAATTTTAAAAATAAAAAAAGATAATTATATTAAACAAAGAATTAAATTGGTTTGGCCTAAGAGTAATATATACAGTATATATATATTATATATACAGTATATTAATAATAAAAATTTAAATAAATTTAAATTTTTTAAGAGTATTGCTAACTTTCACCCTAGGTGATGTCACCTAGTTGCATATAAACCAATTAGATCACTAGATCTTGTGTAACCAAAACAAAGCGAAGAAAAGAAAAAATTTAAAAAAACTTTAATAACTCTAAATTTTATTATAAAAACTATATTTTAACTTCTAAGCAAAAGTTTTCAGCTTTGAATTTTACATATATAAATTTTTTTACTCAATCCCTAACCTAACTTCAGCTTATATCTAACTCTAATCTTAGCTACATGTAAATTTATTTTAATAAAAATTTTATAATACCAGGTGATATTACCATGGGTAAAAATTAGTTAAAATCATTTTTTAAATTTAAATAAAAAAAAATTTAATTAAATTTAGCCAAGTATTAAGGAATCTTTATTTAAAATTTAAATATTTTTAAAAAAAAGCTATAACCAATTTTTTTTAATTTTAATAAATATTTCTTTATATTAATTTTAAAATACAATTAAAAATTTTTATCTAATTTGAATAGTTAAAAAAGTGCTATTTATTAGCTGATTTTTTGTAAAATTCTCTCTCTTTCTTAAATGAT